GTATGTTGATGATGATCAAACAATCTATGTTGCTGATCGAATGAATCACTGTATTGTGGAATGGAAACAAGGTGCAACAAGTGGCCAAGTGGTTGCCGGTGGAAATGGACAAGGAAGTGGAGATCATCAATTGGATAACCCAACAGATGTGATTATCGACAAAGAGAGAGATAGTCTCATCATAAGCGATCGTTCGAATAGAAGAGTGGTTCGATGGCCTCGTCGAAATGGGATAAGTGGAGAAACAATCATCTCCAACATCTTATGTGTGGGTTTGACAATGGACGAGAATGGATCTCTCTATGTCACTGATGTTGGAAGATATGAAGTGAGACGATATCGAAGAGGAGAATCTCAAGGAATAGTGGTTGCAGGTGGCAATGGATTTGGAAATCGTCTTGATCAACTCTCTTCCTCCTCATACGTATTCGTCGATCGAGATCATTCAGTGTACATATCTGATGAGGGAAATCATCGTGTGATGAAATGGATGGAAGGTGGAAAACAAGGCATTGTCGTGGCTGGTGGTCAAGGATCTGGAAGTGGTCTTACACAATTGTCATATCCTCGAGGAGTCGTTGTCGATCAATTGGGCACTGTCTATGTGGCTGATTGGAGGAATGATCGAATCATGCGTTGGCCTAAAGGAACCACACAAGGCAATGTCATTGTTGGTGGAAACGGTAGTGGAGAACAATCGAACCAACTCAATGGACCCTTCGGTTTGTCATTCGATCGACACGGCAATCTTTATGTCATCGATTGGGGAAATCTTCGAGTTCAAAAATTCAACATCGAATCCAATAAATAAAGGACAAGTAACTTAAAGAAAAGAAAAAAACGTTTTTACTACTGTATTAATTGAAAGTTTGTTTTTTTTCAAAAAATAAAAATAAAGGTCAGTGGTAACTAATAATAATAACAGCAATATATGACTCAACCCAGGAGGTCGCCACCCAGCATTTTCAAGGATTCCGCATCCTTAAAAAAATCTCCAATTCCCTTTGTACTAAAGTAAAAATTTTTTTCTCACATTTTCCACAGGAAAAGTGCCTGAAAAATTCTTGTAACAATACAGATTTCTGTACAACACAGTTCTCCGATGGTATCTGGAAATCGCCAGTGCTTGAGAAACAACAACAACAAGAAGAGAGACACCTGGCTGACTTCCCTCCAAGCGAAAACCTTGAATTTTCCCCGTCGACTCCAAGGATTCCGTGATATAAAACAATCCCTGGTATTTCAAAAATAGTAGATCATGATGTATTATATAAGATTCGAAGGATTCCAAAAGATGCATAAGTCGGGACCCATGCAACTCTGGACGTTCTTAAAACCCGTATGGTCACCAGAGGAGTTTCAGAAGATACCAAGAATTCCAAGGATTCCATGATACAAAACAAAGTTTGGTATTTCGAATATTGTAGATGTCAGATGAATTCTATCAGATTCGAAGGATTCCAAAAGATCCAGAAGCGGGAACCCATGCAACTCTGGACCTCCTGAAAACCCCTGTGCTCACCACAGGACTTTCAGGGGATACCAAGGATTCCAAGGATATCATGGTATAAAACAATGTGTAGTATTTTGAATATTGTAGACCATGATGAATCCTATCAGATTCGTAGGATTCCAAAAGATTCTGCAGTGGAAACCCATGCAACTCTGGACTTCCTTAAAACCCCTAAGGTCACCATTGGACTTTGAGAGGATACCAACGATTCCAAGGATTCCATGATACCAAACAATGTCTGGTTTTTCGAATATCGTCAATGATGATGAATTCTATTAGATTCGAAGTATTCCAAAAGATCCTGAAGTGGCAACCCATGCAACTCTGGACCTCCTTAAAGCCCCTTTTGGTCACGATAGGACTTTCAGAGGATAGCAATGATTCCAATGATTCCATGATATAAAACAATGTCTGGTATTTCAAATATTGTAGATCATGATGAATTCTATCAGATTCAAAGGATTCTCAAAGGTCCTGCAGTGGGAACCCATGCAATTTTGGACCTCCTTAAAACCCCAATGCTCGCCATAGGACTCTCAGAAGGTACCAAGGATTCCATGATACAAAACAATGCCCGGTTTTTCGAATATTGTAGATCATGATGAATTCTCTCCAATTCCAAGGATTCCAATAGATCCTGAAGTGGGAATCCATGCAACTCTAGACCTCCTTATACCGCTTTTGGTCACCGTAAGACTTTTGGAGGATATCAAGCATTTCAAGGTTTCCATGATATAAAACAGAGTCTGCCATTTCGAATATTTTAGATCATGATGAATTCCAACAGATTCGAAGGATTCCAAAAGATCCTGAAGCGGGAACCCATGGCAACGCTGGACCTCTTTGAAACCCCTTTTGGATACGATAGGACTTTGAGAGGACACCAAGGATTGTATGATATAAAAAAATGTCTGGTATTTCGAATAGTGTAGATCATGATGAATTCTAGTAGATTCCAAGAAGTCTAGAAGATCCTGCAGTGGGAACCCATGCTAACCTAGACCTGCTTAAGACCCCTATGGTCGCCATAGGACTTTTTGGCGGATATCAAGGATTCGAAGAATTTGATGCAATGAAACAATGTCTGACATGCAGAATATTGTAGATTATGATGAATTCTAGCAGATTCCTAGGATTGCAAAAGATGCTGAAGATGGAAACGTCGTAAATTGTGGTATTCTAGTAAGTTTCTTTGGTGACTGTGAAGGTGTTGGAGGATACCACATATTCGAATCGTGCGACGACAGGAAAGAATATTGTGTAATGAGGATATGATGGATCATGATGGATTGTTCCAGGTTGCTGGGGTTTCAAAGGAATTCGAAGTGACAACCTGTTCAAATTGTGATATCTTGGCGGCGGCTGTTGTTATTATAACTCTTTGATAGCTTATGAAAGATTGTAAGTAATCAAGA